TATACTGTAGCACCTATCAAGACACTCAAAGCTCTTTACAACACAATCTGTGCCTCATTTACCCATTCATGCATCACTCTACTAGATCTATAATCAATGCTTTAGAACATTCATGCACTGATGAGACACACATCAGAGGCATTGAGGGGTTCAGTGTTTTGCCCTTCGAGGTATAAAATGTACGTAAACCTTAGTGAAACAATATTGTAGCTAACACCTGAGCTTTAACTTGCTAAATATTTGCTAAGAATGACAGGAATGTCTACAGCAGATGTTCATTTCCACCTGTCCGCTGTGAGGACAGCTGCTCTGCTGCAGCAGCTGTCCTCACAGCGGCACACTGCTCCGTCTCCGTGTCCAGTCTGACGCAAAATTACGTGTCAAAGTTAACACAAAGTTTTCAAAAGATATTTGACAAAATTAAGTCATTTTGGTGATCTTTCAGTATGAAATTCTCATTTTGTGTTTGAGACCGTTTCAGTACTGAGTTATGGAGAATTAGTGCAAAAACATTTGTTGGTCACTTTTCCAGACCTTTTCCACACTTCCCCATTTTTACTCCAAATATCAATTATCACAGCTGTGGAATGTGCATTGATAAATAAAATTAAAAATGTTTTCTAAAGGTGTCTTTGACCACAAACATTTGTTGTTTTTATTTCAACTAAATTCTGATGGATTCTGACGTGAACTGTAGATGGAGTCAGACAATGCTACAAGAGGAAGAGGAAGCATTCAAACCAAAAACTTTGCATGCTTTTCTTGGAGCCAGCATTTCCATCCAGTATCTTTACTCGCTTCTTCCTTTCCGGGTCATGGGGGTCACTGGAGCCCACATCACATATGACTGTTTGAGAGGCGGGGGACACCCTGGACAGGTCTCCAGTCCATCACAGGGACACATAGAGACAAACCATTCACTCTCACTCACACCTAGGGACAATTTAGAGTTACCAATCAGACTAACATGCATGTTTTTGGTCTGTGAGAGGAAACCCATGCATGCACTGCAACAACATGCCAACTCTACCCAGAAAGGCCAAAGGCCGGGATTTGAGTCGACGACCTTCTCGTTGAGAGGTGGCAGCTCTACCATCTACACCACTGTGCCACCCCAGCCAACACTTTGTTCCTGATAATGATGCTGGATGAGGTGACAAGGATCCTTCCAGGCCTCTTTACCTCAAACTGTTATTTTTCCCCTCAGTAATAACTCGTCACGTCAGATTTATTTATATAGCACATTTAAAACAGAAACTGTTACCACTTAACTTGTACTTATGAAAGAATCAAATGTGCTGCAGTTCAGTTGAGTTGAGGATATCGGAGTCGGTTAATAAAGAAGTGGCGGCTGCTCTAAAGCCCTGGTCGCATGGCACAGTGAAACTATTTCTAATCTTGAGAGCATGGTTGATGAGCAAAACAACCAGCTAACTTTCATGCAAATGAACATGACTAAGCACTTTGTGGACATTGTGAGCAAAGTTGGATTCTACATTGAACTCACGGTACTTAAGCCCGGATTGAAAAAACTATTTGACACAACGTGCCCTCAGTGTGAATGACGCTAAAAGTCCACAGCAAATACTTTTTGTTTTGGAGCTGTCCTTCAATGAAAAGAATCAGGTCTGAGAGTTAATGTTTCTAATCTCATATAACTAAAGAGGATATTACTCCTAATGTCTTAACTCCTTTTTTAGAGTGCAGTGATCCCTCGCTACTTCACAGTTTGACTGTCTCGCTCTTTCGCGGTTTTTCAAAGTAAGATTGAACACGAGAGGAAATAAATTGTGCACGACACACAGTTGCCAACTTTAATATTACTCAGGTGATTGGGACAGTACAGGATGCTGTACAATAAAAAGTTAACGAAAAATATAATACTTCGGACAGGCACCGCCATTTTGTTGTTTTCTCTTAATAAGCCTACACTGTATCCCTTAAGGACTACATTTCAGGTGTCTTTCGTAAATGAGTCCCTGAGGCTCAGTAAGACTAGCCTGTATAAATAAAGGTTGAATGAATTTCCCAGAAGCCAATAGGACCCCGCCCAGAAGCCCCAATGCCTTCTTCTGAAATATGTCGAGAGAAAGTTTTGATCTAATCCAAAAAAGTTTGGTCCTTTACAGTGACTTCAATGTCCAGCAGATGCAGAGAGCTGCATGGAACCCACCAGGAACTGGAGCAGAACCGGACCCCCAGATCCATCGGAGAACCTGAGAACTGCCGGCCCACAAGGACTTCTGAGCAAGGATGTGTGCTGCCATAGGTCTGGCGCTCCCTCCAGAGTCCACCGGGGCTTTTTACTTCTCTCTATTGGACCGCTTAATCGGACCACTGGTCCCGCGCCAGCCACCCGAAGCCTCCCCACCACCAAAAAAAGTGTTTCAGCGCTCAAGGGCTGCACAGAACCGGAGCGGAATCAGACCCCCAGACTCATTGGTGAACCCAAGAGCTGCTAGCCAGCCCACAAGGACTTCGGAAGAGGGGACGTGCTACCCGTAGGTCTCACTTCTTTCCAGAGCCCATCGCCACTACCCCGAGCCAGAAAGCCGACCAGAACTGGCAGGGTAGGTCCGCTGAAATGGAACCAAGTCAGAGCAGAACTGAGCTGCTGCTGTTCTGCTGAGCTGGTGAGTAAAATTTAGGAGCTACATCCAGTATAAAGTACTGTATGTATGTTGTTAAATATAATGTCACAACTTCAGAGGTTTTCACTTATTGTGGGGTGTCTGGAACGTGACCCCTCAATAAACGAGGGACTGCTGTATGACCCACTCTACTTGCTCTCCTGCTAAAAGACCAACATATACTTCACAGCTCTGCTGGCCAGGAAGCTAATATTGTTCAGTTAAATATCTGCAGCTCTGACTACATTTACAGTCTAGATTAGAGCTGTTCATTTTCTGAAACTGAAACCTCAGACTGTCTGGTAAGACTGTATCAACGTATACTTTCCCTTGTATTTACATTAACTAACATTCAACTAAGTAATGTCTAGCAGTGATGGTAATTCATTTTAGACAGAGCAGCTATTCTCACATATATCTTTTTGTCAGGAGAACCGGTGGATGTACACTAGCTTGGCGGTCAGTATTGAGTAGGGCATTAACAGAGTACTCGAGTAATCTACACATCGAATGCTAGGACATCTATCGAGGTTAAAAATGTAACGTCGAGTATCCGTAGTGACGTCATATTATGTGACCACCGTATGACCGTAGGGGGCGGTGTTGCACTGTTGTAGGTCACAGAGTATGGTGTAACACCGGGTCCAATCCACTGAACCAGAACCAGTTTCGGTTTAAGTTTCGTTTTTGACGTGCTGCACGTTTCTTCACGTTTGCAGTTTAATAATAATAATAACTAATAGTTTAGTTTTTCCAGTGACTTATTTGCAGTATCATAAATGGTAGGAGCATAATATACGCTCCCAATGTTTTGTTGGTCTTTTTTTTGTAAATAATTACCTTTTTTTGCGCTTTTATTTATTTATTTATTTTTGTATCTTGAGATCTATGACGTCATCAAATACTCGAGTTCTACACGGGTTTTATTATGTTAATGTCAAGTTTAAAAATTATATACTCGTTCAACCCCTAGTTACAAGTAATCTTGAGGCTGCAGGGTCAAACCCAGGTGGCGTCAGGAATGGAATCGGGTGTAAATTTATCACCAAATATTTTATGTGAGTTTGCTCACTTTGGTGACCCCTGTAGAAGGAAGCTGCTGGGAGGAAAAAAATCCAGTAAGACAGCCCTACTAGCTTTTATGGTAATTCATTTTAAACGAAAGAAGCTTTCTAACTTATACAGAAATTTATTTTAGGAAGTGCAGCAAAGCTGGCTACCTAAAAACATTAGCCATATAACAATTGTTTTTAGGTAAAAAGCTTTGCTAGAATTTACTGCAATTAATTAATTTTAGGTGACAAAACTTTTTTGCATTTACCAACAGTCATTTAAGTTATTTCAGTTTTTATAGTATGTATGTCATTTTTTTAATGTGTCACAAGGTTTTCTCATTTTATAGTAAATCATTTTAGGTGGTGCAGCATTTCTTTCCATCCATCCAGCCCTTTCATCTCTCTCCACAGCCTCCTCCTCCATCTCTTCTGGGAGGACTCCAAGGTGTCCCCAGGCCAACTGAGAGACATGGCTTCTCCAGCCTGTCCTACAGGTAAGTCTTTCCTGGGGTCTCCTCCCAGTCAGATATTTCCAGGGAGCATCTTTACAAGATGCCTGAACCACCACAACTGGCTCCTTCCGCCGTGGAGGAGAAGTGGCTCCACTCTGAGTCTCTCCTGGATTACTGGATTTTCTCACACTGTCTCTTTGGGAGAGTCCAGATAATCTGCAGAGAAAATTCATTTCGACCACCCATATCCACAATCTCATTCCTTCTATCTCAACCCAAAATTTGTGACCATAGGTGAGGATAGGAATGTAAACCGACTGGTTAACAGAGGGATTTGCCTTACAGCTCAGCTTCCTCTTCACCACAACGGACCGGCACAGAGTACAATACTGCAGACACTGCACCAATCCATCTGTCAGTCTCACGCTCCATTCTTCCATCACTTGTAAACAAAACCCCGAGATATTCAAACGCCTCCACTTGAGGCAGAACCTCACCCTAACCCAAAAAGGGCAATCCACCTTTTCAAACACTACCATTTCTTGATTTACAGTAATTTCCACGTGAGGCTCATGGTTTAACTCTGCTTCTATATACCAGACCCTGAAGAGGTGCAGGCCTGAAAAATCAGCTGGTGGGAGAAGATAACTATAGCTCTCTCTAATACAATATTTACATATAATCTGGACTTTACCTTTTATTTCTTTCAGATTAAAAAAGTTTATTATTGGTTAAAACAATATTTTGTCATTTATTGGTTATATCTGAAGTACATGAGAAATGAATTTAGTAATGTACTGCAGCCAAACCCTCACAATTTTCATATCACGGTGTTAAGTGTATCCAGAAACGTTGAAGCCTACCTGGCAGAAGATCTGTCGTTGGATGTGGCCAGCTGTAGGTCCTGATGAGCTGCCAGTCGAAGTCATCCTCCTGACCCTGTTTGTACTCACATAAGCCAGAGTCGGAGTCTTCATCAAAGGTGCAGCCAGCTGCAAGAAGCATAAAAACAAAAAAAACTTATAAGAGGTGAAACTAAGGACGGTATTCAACTTGTAACAGTTCCTTTGCTTGATGCTGCTTGCAGAACGCTTGTGAAGAAAACACATTATTACAGGAACATTATTGCTCAAGTACGTCCCATTCTGGCTGTAATTGTCTTAGTTCATCAACTCCTGGAGAGTCTTTGCTGTTCTAAACTAAATTACAGCTAATATTTGGCACCAGGTGGTCAGGACCGACTGCCTGTCTCGTCTATTGTTTTAAAATCTACTATCATTTGATGCAGTTAGCCCTGCGGTGAAAAACACCACACAGCAGCCACAGGTCACTCTAAGAGGCAGAAATAATGGCCAGGGAGGACAAAGCAGTAAGGGGGTCCTCCAGCTGATGGAAGACAACAGGCTGGCTCTCAGCTTGTCAATGTGACCCAAACCTTTCTGCCACATAATGCTCACTTTTACTTTCAGAGTATTACCACACACACTGCAGGCTTTAAAAGCATGAGATGAGCTGTTGGTATGGAGGGGTGGTATTCCGTTCTTTTTTATTTGGACATAATATTAAGGCACACTTTTAGAGATTTGAACATGGACAGGGGCCGAGATGGGGTAGAGGCAGGGCAGCCGACTTGGGACCCGAAAGTCTCAGTTCGCTCTCCAGTCAATGCTCATCTCGTGGAGTCTCTGAGCAGCACACCCTATCCCCAAATGTTCCCCAAGCGCTCTCAATAGATGCTCACTGCTCCACCTGGTGGTGGAAGGGTTAAATGCAGAGAGTCAATTGTATGTTCCCAAACAATGGTGACAACACATAACACATTATTATAACATGATTAGCTTACACTCAGAAGAAACCAGTTTGGTTCTGTGATGTATGAAAGTCAGCAGTAAACATTTTAGAGCAGCAAACATAAAACTTGACCACGTCTGTTTGAATAAAACATTCATCATTGTGGTTGAATATTAATTATTTCTGTTGATCATATTTAACAGAACACTCATGAAACTGTTGGTGCTGCCTTATAAACAAATTAAAGGTTTAGTATTGAACAAGCAGTACGCCGATGTCCCTTGTTGCTGAGGGATTTGAAAAGTGAATGTAGTTTTGGAGATCAGTGTTTTTCTGGACTGGAATTGAAGAAGTGATGCAAGAAAACTTTAATGTTTTTGGTGCAAGCTATTCAAGAGGGTAGGACTTATACTGAGCATAAGAAGAGAGGTGGTTTATTTGTTTATGCCTGTCTGCCTGCAGGCAGATTAATATGGTTGTGACCATGTTGGATTTGAACGTGGCAACCCAATTTTTGGCAGTGACCTTTATTTCACCTGAATGCACAAAATGCAAGTTAAACACTAAAATAGAAGTTGGCATGTTGCTTATTTTGCAAGTTATCCATCTCACAAGGTTTACATATTTACATATATGGTGGCAACCATCTTGAATTTTGACATGGCAACTCAATTGTCGAAAAGAACCTTTCTTTCACCTAAATGTATCTGCACACCAAAATGTAAGTCTGTATCTCACATTCAAGTTTCAAGTTATCAAGCTCACAGTCTGTCCATCCATCCATCCATCCATCAATCCATACATTCATCAATCCATCCATCATCCATTAATCTATCCATCATCCATCCATCCATCCATCCATCAATCCATTCATCAATCCATCCATCCATCCATCATCCATCTATCAATCCATCCATCCATCAACCATCCATTCATCAATCTATCTATCCATACATCATCCATTCATCATCCATCCATCAATCTATCCATCCATCATCCATCCATTCATCATCCATTCATCCATCAATCCATTCATCAATCCATCCATCCATCCATCATCCATCTATCAATCCATCATCCATCATCATCCATCCATTCATCAATATCTATATCCATACATCATCCATTCATCATCCATCCATCATCCATTCATCCATCAATCCATCCATCCATCCATCCATCATCCATGTATCAATCCATTCATCATCCATCAATCATCCATTCATTCATTATCCATTCATCCATCAATCCATCCATCATCCATCTATCAATCCATCCGACCATCCATCCATCATCCATCTATCAATCCATCCATCCATCCATCATCTTTCACTTATTCTGAAGTCGGGTCATGGAGGCAGCAGCTTGAGCAGGGAGGCTCAGACATCTCTTTCCATGGTCACCTCTTCCAGCTCTTGTGGGAGGACCCCAAGGGGTTCCCAGCCCAACTGAGAGATATAGTCTCTTCGGCATGTCCTGGGTCTCCTCCCAGTCGGACATGCCCAAACATCTCCTTAGGGAGGTGCCCAGGAAGTATCCTTACCAGATGCCTGAACAACCTCGACTGGCTCATTTCGATGTGGAGGAGCAGTGGTTCTACTCCAAGTCACTCCAGGATAACGAAACTTCTCACCCTCTCTCTAAGGGAGAGTCCAGCTACCCTGCGGAGGAAACTCATTTCAACTGCCTGCATCCACGATCTCATTCTTTCAATTTCTACCCAGACTTTGTGACCATAGGTGAGGGTAGGAACGTAGACTGGCCAGTAAACAGAGACCTTTGCCTTACAGTTCAGCTCCCTCTTCACCACAATGGACCAGCACAGAGTTTGCAATACTGCAGACGCTGCACCAATCCATGTGTCAATCTCATGCTCCATTCTTCCCTCACTCGTGAACAAAACTCTGAGATACTTGAACTCCTACACTTGAGACAGAACGTCACCCTCGACCTGAAGAGAACAATCAGCTCACAAAATGGATGAACATTTTTGGGGGAAGTCATCTTGGATTTTGACGTGGTATTCCAATTTTTGAAATGAACTGTTCGTAAGTCTCAATGTAGCTACACACTAAAATGGAAGTCAGTATCTTATTTATTTTTCAAGTTATGCTCACAACATGCACGGATGGACAAAAAGATGAATGGACGGATGAAGGGTATTTCCAAATGCCCCCAAAAGTTATTTATGTGTTTATTAAATTAGATTTTGTGTAGCGAGCCTCTTGAATTGAGTTGTTTAGGAAAGTGAATCAACTAGATGCACACCCATTGATGAGTTTCATTAAAATCTGTCCAGTGGTTCATGAGAAATGTTTTGGTAATGCATCAAAGAAACACAAATGGAGACCAAGGCACAAACATAATTACTCTTTTGGGCAGTACAGTAGGAAAAAAACTCAGAACTTCATCAAATTTTACAAATAAGTAAAACTGTATGTGCAGTAGTTAGTTGGAAATCACATAGTTTTCAATCAACTTTATATTTTTTGTCTCAAATCCTGTAAATGATCTAAACTATATTTTGTAATTGAAGTTGTCCAAGAGCTAATAACAACAGGCAAATCTAAAATGCTCAGATTCTGCTCTCATACCAATACTCATTAAAAATTAATTCAGGACAGTTTCTTTTTTGGTGCTGAAATGTTTCGCCTTCAATCCGGAAGGCTTCATCAGTCAAGGAAACACACAACAAAACTGATTCTTCCCCCAACAGCTTACTCCAAAGTGGAACAAACCAGTTCTGCTTGTGATTAGATGGTCTCTATGGTACTCCCCTCCTCCATTGCCGGCCCTCTTCCTTGTTGACAGTCTTGTCAAACTGGTTGAAAACAACCAAGTTGTTGGAGGAAGAATCAGTTTTGTTGTGTGTTTCCTTGACTGATGAAGCCTTCTGGATCGAAGGCGAAATGTTTCAGCACAAAAAAGAAACTGACAGAGATGACCTGACTGAAAAATGTTGGATTTTATACCTGGATTATTGAGCATGGACTTTATTGTGAGTAATCTCATGCACAAACAAACAAACCTGTGCTAATGAAAATGGAACCTCCTTGATGAAATATTCTTATCCATCCTTGTCACTCCTAAGGAGAACCTCAACATCTTCATTTCTCCCACTTCCAGTTCTGTCTCCTGTCTTTTTGTCCATGTCTCTGTCTTCAGACCATACAACATAGCTGGTCTCACCACTGTCTTGTAAACTTTTCTTTTGACCTTTGTTGACACCTTTTGGTCACAAATCATTCCTGAAACTTTTCTCCATCCACTCCATCCTGCCTGGACTCTTCTTCAAATCTGTATCACACTTCCCACACTACAAATAATAGTTATATTAAAGAATAAAAAAAACACAAATTTAAGACTAACATTCACACAAAATTATACTTTGTATCTAAAACTCAAGTTTTAAAAACCATCAAAAATGATCTGTGATCAAAAATCATTCAGATCAGTGCCCATGTTCACTGATTCTTTTATGGACATAAAATCTTGGTTTGGTGGCCTCAGGACTCTGACTCTGCTATTTGCAGATGATGTGGTCCTGTTGGTGTCATCATGTCATGATCTCCAAGTTCATGATTCGTTAACTGGCTTTAACTATCGTACCCACCACTGCACCCTGTATTCACTGGTTAACTGGACATCATTAACTTCACACAGACTCTCTCACTGGTACATTTTCATCTTCTTGGTCTGCTGCCTTCATACATCTCCTCCTACATGTCTCAGCGTGAGTGCAGCTACAGCGTGCGCTCTCAGGACGTTATTACCTGCAGTGTTCCTTCAGTGAGGACTGAACTAGGTAAAAAGACTTTCTATTACTCCGCTCCTGTTTCCTGGAATATCTTGCAAAAAGATCTGAAGCTCTCAACCATGACCTCTCTAAGTGGCTTCAAAACATCTGTTAAGTTCAAAGCAAAAACTAATGACATGCTCCTGTTTTTAGTGTTTTACATCACTTTATAATGAAGCTGTTTTTGTTTCGGTTTTTTTTACATCATTTCTTCTACTTACTTTTCATTTTATATGATTTTATATAATTGCTGCTGTCTGTGCATCATCTGTGTCCTTTGTTTAAATCAGGTCTCTCTTGTAAATGAGTCCTCGAGGCTCAGTGAGACTAACCAGTATGAATAAAAAATTTTAAAAAGTCTTACTGGAGCAGTTTGCAACTGAGTGTGAAGCGACAAGAATGAAG